TCTAGCTATCTAGCTATCCAGCAGCGGAATTTGAATGGAAGAGTGCAGATAAAAAGATGCGTGGTCAGAAGACGTGTCTCGCGGAGCAGTCGGGCATGGATACATACGTACATACATGAGTGTATACCTACATAGGTATATCTAGGCATGTATATATGTGTGTATATCTCTTTCTGTCTGTCTGTCTGTGTTACGCCCGTCGTCATGAACCAACCAATTCATATCTCTCATCCCAAAAAGGGGGGCTTAGAAACAGAGACCAAGGCGCCATTTGAAAGTGTAATTGCCATGTGAAGTGTAGAGTAGTGCAGTGTAGCAGCGTCATGTCATTACCTCGTACCTTGTGCCATTCCCTTCGCGATCCGCAAAACGTTGATAAACCAGATAGATAGGTGGATAGGTAGGTAGACGGTGGGATAGGATAAAATCGATTACAAGTGATACCGCCTTTCGATTCGAGGCATTCGTGAGGTAGCGTCTCTCGGCAGTATTGTCCTGCTCGAACCGTCACAAAAGCTCTCCAATCGAGACTGTCCCTAGAGTGACTTAACCAAGCAAGGTCTTCAGATTCGCCAGCGCGGCCTCCAGCAGCTTGGGCTCGTATTGCTGCCTCTTGGCGCCGTCAATGACCTCGGTGATCTTGGGCACGATGTCGGCGGCGCCACCAAACCTGTCGCGCGCGTACTTGCGGAAGGCAGCCTCAATGCTGCTCCCGTCGCCAGCGGTGGTGGCTTCGTCCAAGGCCACGGCGCGCGGGATGACCTCGGAGAAGACCGTGCTACCACCAGCAGCACCCGAGATGATGTTGAACCACTGTTTCTTCTGCTCGGGACGCATCAAGTCCAGCGCGCGGGCGAACTGCGTCGTCTCGTACGCTGACACCAGGTGTATAACGGCGTGCGCTGTGGCTAGCATCCGGATCATGCGCTGCTGGGCATCTTCGTCACCCATCGCCGCAACAGGGTTCCCGGCCCGTTGCACTACCAGATCAGCCCGGTCTGAGTCGAACCCGAGGTAGTACTGCGCAATGCAGCTGTCGTCGGCGGCAGCGTGCGTCTTCATCACCTGCGTGATGACCTCGCTAGCTGCGTTGAGTAGCGGTAGCTCGACGCTTAGCCGCACCTCCTCGTCGCGGATAATGCCCACGTCTTTGTTGATGATGGCGGTCGCAGAAGCCATGGGTGGGGACGCGCTCAGCATCCGCGGACCGCGGTTCTCAAACATCCAGCTCCAGCCCAAGGGCGTCTTCCCCGTTGAAGCGTCCTTGGTGGTCAGCGCGTCGTAGAACTTCTGTGTATCGACGCCATTGATCGCCGCTAGGCCCATGATTTCTGACGCCGAGGGGATATGGATCCCGCACATGACCTGGTTCAGCGCCTTGGCCGACTGTCCCGCGCCGAGGCCGCCAGGGATGGGGAACAGCGTCGTGCCCTTACTGGCGACATTCTCGAGGACCGATTTGGCGCTGCTTTCTTGGAGATTCTTCATGTCGTCCGAGGATACCATGATAGTCAACGTGCCGTTGACTGATCTTGCGACGCCACCAGACACAGGTGCATCAATGAGGCGAACATCCGGACGGTGAAATTCACTCGTCAGCCGCTCACGTACGGTAGATGGCTGTGTAGGGGGTATAGTGGCGTGGATTATGACCGTACAGTCCTTGGGCAGGGCGTGGACCGCTCCATTATCGTCGAATAGTGCGGAGTGGACGTGATGGTGGTTTGCGACCATCAGACAAACGACTGCAGCGTTTCTGACAGCTTCTGCGGGCGAGCTGGCAGCTTTGGCGCGGGACTCTGGGATCTCGTCACACGTTGCCTGCCAACGGTCCAGCGTTGGTCCGTAGATGTCGAACCCTGTGACTGGGAAGCCGGTCCTGACCAGGTGCGTTGACATGGCAAACCCCATTGCTCCGAGACCGATGAAGCCCACTTGGGGGAACTGGTTTGCCGTTGACATGACCGCCATTGTCGCCTGACTGGTATATGATAGTTCTGGAGAGCGAGACAGGTAGATAGATACTCGTCAGGGTATGTGAAGACCTTGGACTCTGAACAGGAACAGGGTCACAACTGCCGAGTCATATAGATGACGTTTTTGGCGCGCTACCTTCAACGCGGATGTCTCTTGTTCAAGAAGCAGGGCAAAAGCAACGGTCAAAAGGGACATCAATCAAGTGAGCGATGCCTGAGAAGGGAAAGGTAGTCAAGATTCTCGTCAAATAAGTACTTGCCGACACATGTTTCGTGTCGTTCTCTTACGGTTAAATGCCAATGGCCACCCGGTGTATGTCGGTGCAGAGACCGATGCCTGGCGATCAAAGGGGTGGAGATGCTTGTGAAAGGTGGAGGACCCTTGCAGCAGCATCTTTTCGTCTGTCTCGGTTGTTGAGATTGTGGAGAGATTGAGGAAAACAGGAAATGCCGACCGACGGTGTCGTGCGGAGGAAATGCCGCGATAGACATCACGTGATTAATAACGCACGTGACGGGCACATGAACAACCTCGTCATTTGAATCTCCCAATTTTCTCGTCTTTTGAAGGCTACCTCCTCTGTGTTTGCCTTGCATCAACCACAACATCTTCTCATCCATCGAGTTGGGATGTGCAGCTGTTTGTCTTGCCCAATTCCATCCATCCCTTTTGTAACCGCCTAGTTACCAAGGCGCCACTGCAGCAGAACTCCTATCAAGTCTCGCCTAAAGGTGAGGCTTCACCCTTGCAAGCGCCCGCGCCCGGCATGTCTGTACAGTGACTGGGAAGCAAGGTGCTCTCACACCCCCCCATTTACGTCTGTGTAACGTCCCGGAACTCCCCTACGCTGTCCTTATTACCCCGAAGTACCATTTCTAACAGCGCGTGATCATGCTCAAGCCACGTCACTCTCCAAGTCTCTGTGGCTTCCGTTATCTCCAGGCTCGATTGGCCTGATATTCCAGCCCTCACTAACCGGGCAGCTTTAACCCCTGTCGTAATAGGCAGACTGCGGCGCATTTCTGACATGCGTGTCCAGACCTTTTCCGCAGGGCAACGTGCAGGAAGTCCTAGTTGTATCGCTCAGCCTTGCCAGTTGCCTTGTACTGCCTCTAACCACTGAACCAGTCTATAACATGGAGCTGCTTTCCTCAGGCACTCTGTGCTTTCGCAACCACTCCTTGATCGACTCTCATTTCCCCCGAAGAAACAGACAACAAGTTAAAGATTTCGAGGCCATAGCCAACATGCCCAGCAACAACTCTTCTAAAAAACTTATCCATGCTAAGCCGAAACACAGTGAAATTCGGTCGACTGGCAGAAAGCATCATGATAATGATGATACCAGGTCACAGAGTGAATATTCGTCCGTGACTCCAGTCTCAGGCTATCAACACGAGGCATACAAAATATTCAAGGAGCCTGTCCGACACGACGATGATGACAGACCAAGTTCGCCGCCTCCCAACTCCAGACCTCAGCGAAGAGAGAGCACGTTTCGCCACCGTTCGGATTCCTTTCGATCAACAACAGAACGCCCAGCCCTAGCTTGGACTCTCTCAGCTGGTGTCCCTTACATGCCCATATACGAGCATATTGTGGTGCTCCGCAGGAACGGTATATCCGTCAGACTTGGTCCGGAAGGACTCAGAGCTATGTCTCAACACAGCCCGCTTGAACCACGGCCAGTGAGCCACATTCATAGTTGCGGCGCCGCTCACAATGCCCCTATTGATGTGCATAACCCATCACCACAAGAGAAGCAAGCGGTCACTGAAGCCATTATCTACATTGTCGGAAATTGTGGGGGGGAAGTTGACATGCCCGGGTTCGAACCTCAGTCTCAGCCAGCAATGCAGTGCAGTTCTTGCTCCAACCCCACCCCCACCTCCAACCCAATGTCCAACCCAGCCTCTCTTCGACGAGAGATGGATGAGCACAACCGCCATCCGTATGAGAATGGCCACGCGTATCAGAATGGCCACGGATCCCATGGAGCAACATACGAGCCAAAAACTGAAGGCAACATCCCCATCGGCCTGGCCAGGCCCTTTGAAACGGGGCACCCAGATGTGACTTGGGCTGGTCATAGTCGATGAGGCTCATCCACAGACCATAATGGATTTCTTGATGTTGCGTTAGGCTATGGGGCTGCTGGTGTCTCTTCACTTTTTTCCCCGGCGTGTGGAATCTGAGGCAGGTCTTGTCCTCTACCATGGACCTTTGTTGTATATTATTGGCGCATCAACTTACCCCTTGTGGCTTCTCGACTGGTATTGACAGGAGTTTTCGGACCTGTCATGGAGGGTGCATGGGAGCACCCCCGCTTTTCCCTTTTCGGGCCACTTTACTCTGGGAGAATTGATTTCCCAGTGGGTTTTTCGATAGAGGAAAATAATTTGTCTTTCCCTGACCGGCTCTTCAGCCTGATGCCCGATTTTCAGGCGCCTGTCGACTTCACCGTGTCGCGCGTGTCTAGGACTTGTGAGAGCAGGGGTAACCCTTGCACCAACTAACCAACTACGTCATCGCTCACCTCCACCCACCACACCAAACCATCCACGTCTTTTCCATTTGCACTGCATCCCTTGTTCTCTTCCAGTTTCCTTTTTACAAGAGAACTTGATTCTGCCCAATGAGAAGCCATGCCTGTAGGATCACAAACATGTTTAGATCGAGGTGACGTACCAGCCACACAGACCCCCAGCCAGCCTCCCGTGCCACATGCCTCTCTTTTCGCACATGATGGCATCATACTGCCCATGTGGCTCCAACGGGCATTTCTGCATGCGTGATCGTCCCTCATTCCAAGGCTCTATATGGTATTTGATGTGCCCGTCTCTGGCTGACTCGGTATTTGTCTTGCCCACGCAAACCCCATCAAGAACGAACCAAAACTTCCCATAGTCTCCCCCAGAGGCCTCCATTTAACTTTTCTTTGGGGCTGCACCAGCGATAGCCTTATAGCACATCCCCAGCGGCAGAAGCGCGTTTCAATTCCCCCGCTGAACGCTCACTACGTCATGGAAGGCGCAAAGAACTGGTACAACAAGCAATACGAGTCGTGGGTGCCGTGGATTGAAGACAAAGTCCTCGGCTGGTTTGGGGAGAACAAGACCAGCTATGTCGCCAAAGGTACGAGACACTAGAACACTTCACCCACCGCCAAGGGCTCCTACCCCGTTTTGGTGTGCTCCTTTGCTGACTGAACTGCGACGTAGATAACCTGGGCAAGACCAAAATCACCGGCGACGAGAACGTAGACGCCATCCAGGACGACGTTAATAACGGGGTAGGCGGGCAGTTCGGCAAGGGTGGCTTGCTCGAAGGCGTAGGCAACCTGACAAGTAAAGAGGTGCTCAACCGGGGGGAGAGGAAAGGGAAGAATGAAAAGGGTGGGTATGGTTTGTGACAAGAGACGTGGAGGCAAATCATACTACCATAAAGGACGTCGGACATGTTGTCCTTATTGTGAGAGCGAGGACGGACAGTGAATCTGTTCTTGGAAAGTGATTGCAGTGAAGTTCACTGCTCGTTCAACTCATGAATTTGGTGCTCATTGATCGTAGCTCATCATTACAAAACAATTTTGATCCATGCCCCTGCCCATGCCCATGCCCCTGAGCCTTTGAACCTTTGTTTCTGACCTCCGATGCTGTTGTCTCAAACGCCTCCCTTTCATTACCGGACTTTCGGGTTATTATCCTGAGCATCTCCCCTTTCCCTACTGGACATGTTATCTCAAGCGCCTCCCACCCTCCCTTGAATTCACTAGACCTGTGTCATTGTCAGGGAGGCGATCGGCCGGCGACCTCTGTCAACCCAATATGCACTCTCAGCATCTGCTTCTTTGTCGCCAGATCCACCCCTGGGCCAGGGGCAAGATCTAGCTGTCGCAAGATAAGATTAATGCGGTTCGTAGTCAATTGCCCAAGTTCCTGTGGTGATCTAGGAAAGTTTGGGATAGGGTCTGCAGTCGAGGCATTGACGAATGGTGAAAGAGGGTCCGAGCTGGTTGCAAGGTACGTGTTTTGGACTCGAGCTGTATTGTTGTGATTCCTATAGAAATTAGTACAGTCAATATCCAAGGGATGGAGAGGTATATATGTACATACGATGCGCGTATCGCCAGGTTAATGCCTCCGACGTCTTCACGAAGACCTGTGATGTCTTCACGAATGCCTCCGACGTCTTCACGAAGACCTGTGACGTGTTCACGAATGCCTGTGATGTCCTCACGAGTGCCTCCGACGTCTTCACGAAGACCTATGATGTCTCGACGATCACCTGCGATGTCTCGACGAACGGCTGTGAATTCTCGACCAGTTTCTTGACGAAATTCTGTAAGCTCTTGACGAATGGCTGCGAATTCCCGACCAGTTTCTTGACGAAATTCTGCAGCCTCTTGACGAAATTCTGCAGATTCTTGACGAAATACTGTGAATTCTTGATGAAGGGCTTGAATCTGAGCTAGAATTCGGTCGCCATTGGTCACCGCAGGGAGATTTTGCGTCTTCCTAAGCTCATCGGCAATGAGGTCGAAATCTGGTTGAGGGCCGAAAGGGTTTTGGCTCGCCATCTTGTGATGCTGATCATGAATGATAGAGTGATGCTTCAGGGGAGCGATGAACGATGGGGTGATAGATGGTAGAAATATTCTTTCTTGTTTGCTGTCTGTTGGATGTTTATATAGACGCGTACGGACTAGCCGCCACGTGGTTGTGGATCCAGGCGACATCTAGGCGACCTCTTTAAAAAGCGGCGGCACTGACCGCTAAAAGTGACAGCAACCTGCCGAGTTACGTCTGGACTGTAAGATATTCACATATCAATTACACTGCATGCAACGAACCGAACCAGCTAAGTTAATGATATAAATCTTCGCGCGTCTTGTCACGAAGCCCCACTCTGATAGGCCGCGTGTCCAACCACTAACGAAGAGATGCGTGATGTACGTTATGCTGTCGCCGGTAGCATAACGCAAGCATGTCTTGGGTGTCTATCGGTGCATAATGAACCCTGGCGTATATATGTGTGTGCGTGTGTGTGCGTGTGTGTGCGAGAGAGAGGACAAACGTCGTTCGTTGCACAAAACAACCTGTCTCGTTTCAAATCCCGCCCCGTGGCCATCCTTCACCGTCAACATACGCCCATATCATGTCTTCTTCCATGATGCATACCGACCCTGCCGTCTCCGATGCCACCATCCGGGCCAAGGCAGGGACCCTGCCCGTCAGCAGGACATCGACCTACTTCTCCTCCTACGCCTTTGCGCTCCACTCGGTGCCCATGGCGTACATGCTCTCAGTGCCGCCGCACTTGTACCTCTTCTCCAAACTGATGAAGGCATCAGGCTACGCCTACTCCAACCTGGTGCCACGGGCCCAGCTCGCGACGCTGGCGCCGACGCTGCCCAAGGCCACGGCCGACGTGCTCTGGCGTGCCCGGGGATGCCATCTGAATGCGTTGGAGGGGTTTCCCCTGTTTGCGGCTGCGATGGTATGAACCAGCCCCTTGACTCTGGCCCCTGGCTTATTTCACATCTCCCACCTCCCCACATGCACGCACCCACCCCACTCCTTTCGGATCCTCCTGTGCCTTCCTTTGTTTGTCGTGCTCCACCTGCTTTCATTCCAGTCCAAATCCTGTCTATCCATGCAAAACAGCCAGCAAAAAAACCCGCCCACATGTTACATATCAAAAACTAACGTGATGGGTGTGTCTTTGTCCATCGTCACGATATAGATCGCAGGCACGCACGCTAAACTTGACGCCCGCGAGCTCAACACCTGCGCGGCAGAGTATCTCGTCGCCCGGACCCTCTACAGCATCCTGTACATGACCGTGCGCAGCGAGCCGGCCAGCTACCTGCGCTCCGCCGTCTGGACTTGGAGCGTCGGCATCCCGGTCTACGTGCTCTGGAAGGCCGGGAAGAACTTTGTCAACGGATACGACGGGGCCGATGGGAAGGTGGACGAGAAAGAGAGTTTGTAGAGGGGTGGTTGAACTAACAAACTCGCTGTCGGGACAGGGTGGGCATGGGCAACAGCGGTCTGTAAGGGGGGAACACCTATGTCTCACTGAACAAGGCGGTAAGGGAAGAAAAACCTTCTCGTTCGTCTCGGGGCATTGCTAAATGCTCTTGTACTTTATAGTAATTCTAGACGGCGCAGGAAAGTAGCTGCTCTCTCGTCAGATGGTTTCCATCATTTATAAACACACACAAGAAAATGCTCCCGGCTTCATGTAGATTTTTTACGGTTCAGTTTTCTTTCTCGCGGCATCCTCCCCCAGTGCCTGTGCACCCTTCTTGCCCTTCTCCCTTTTTTCCCTTGCGTACCGGACACTCCTCGACCACCCAGCCGTCAATGCCCCTTTCACGCTTTGCACAAAACTCGGCCACCGAATTGTGTGCTCAATAACCTGTTTGACTTCCTCTCTCAATCCACCGCCCTCGGTATCTTGGGCGATTCGTTGCTCAAAAGGCCCGCCCTCTCGCCGACGAATGCGATCTGGGTCTTCATCTTTGGTCTTCTCGAGCATCTTATTGAACTCGCCTCTTGGGATTCTGAATTTGGATTGATATTCAAAGTAGAGTTTCTTCCGGAAGGCGTTGGGAAGACGACGGACCATGTGCCCTCGTGTTACAGGATCCATGTTTTGAGCCAAGTTGGCATTGACGGTTGGATCATCAAGCCAGTCTCTGTTTGAGCAGGCCGGATCATTAAACGAGATGTTGGGAAGGTTGTCAATCAATGGCGCGTACAGGCGGCGGAAATTGGGTAACTGGTGCTTCACAATATTCTCGACCTTTCGAGGGTCATCGCCACCGATGCTCATTCGTGGATCACCCATGTATGAGATTCCCGCAATGGTCGAATATAGTTCTTTTTCGGTGAACTCGGGGGGGAGAAGGAGCAGTGCGGTGCGAACTGCGGCAATTAGGTTGACCTGATTTGCGAGGCGGACGGCTGGATTGTCCCGTAAAATTTTCACAGGCTTCTGTAAGCGGCCTGCGAGATATAGCGTGTCCCACTCCGACAAATCTCTGCATAGCGTGTCCAAGTTTACCACTCCATATTTGATCAGAGTTCCATTGACAGTGACATAAGGGTTGAAATAAACTCCTGCCCCGAAGGAATCTTGAACCTTGGACACTGCGTAGGACCCCATAGACCCTAGCCAGCTGTAGTGATCTCGGTGCTCGTGTAGATTCAGAGAGTGCCAGTGCTGGGAATAGGAGACCCCAAAGATAAAATCAATCATCTTCTGGTTTCCATCCTGGACTTTAGCCACAGCTTCTGGAGGGTTTGGGTGTAGGTTTTGGGAGCCTCCGCTCTTTCCCGCACTTTGGGGAAAGACGCCCGAGCCATACGCAAATGCGTAGCGGATGGGAGCTCGAAACTTCCATAGAATTTGCCGCAATGCCTCTTTGAACTCTTCATTGATGATGATATGCTGATTGACACCAAAATCCTTGCCTGGAAGCTCAGAGAATTTTGAAATGCTGAGGTCAGGATTTTCTTCCCAGTCGGTCGGGGTTGAAGTCGAAGAAGGAGGCTTGGAGGAGCTCCGGGATGAAGGAGCTTGCTCGAAGGAGTCGGGTTTGCTGGTCGTCGACTGTTGGCTTGGAGTCGCATTGGGGTTCTGCTTCGCTTTAGAGGCATCGAATCCTGGAGGTGGAGCGCTATCGCGACTGTGTTCTCCCTCGACAGTAGCATATCGCCTGATGGCCAAGTTGAAAGGGAGTCGCTGAGCGGCGCCGAGGATTGGTAGTCCTCGAGGGGGTCCGTAAAGTTCCTGGAACCCCCTCTTGCCCAAGATGCTGGGCACGACCCGTAAGGTCATTCTTGCGGAAATAGAGTCTTTGGATTCAAGTATATCACCATTGCTTGGGTCTCTTGAGATCCCTATGACATTGTTTAAGAAGTCATGGCGATCTCCTACGAACCAAGGTAGGTATGCGCAGGACAGCAGAGATGGGCTGAAATCTGACGCGACATAAGAGGAAAGTCACCCGAAGACTACACGTCATCCCCGCCAAGCTGCACGTGGCCAAATTCGGCAGAATCAACAAACAGTGGCAGCAGTCAACTTCAATCAACGGTTCCTCACCTTTCCTACATTAGATTTCACAACTTCACCGATATTCCAATGGAATACGCTACGTACGAGTCGCGACTTGCGACCTTCGAGCCACCTTCAAAGCGATCAAAGCTAGGATGGCCACACAAGACCCCAACGCCAGAAGAACTCGCTCGAGCTGGCTTCTACTACAAACCCTCCAGTGCCAGCAATGATAACACCATCTGCTACCTTTGCGAAAGACAACTTGATGGCTGGGAGCCGGATGACGATCCGATAGGAGAACATTTAAAACATTCAAGCGACTGCGGCTGGGCGATTTTGATGAGCACCGCACAAGATGCGAAACAAAACATCAGCACGTTGGAAGACCCTACGGACCAGCTGTATGCAGACGCACGTCGAGCCACCTTCGCCATCGGATGGCCACACGAGGCCAAAAGAGGTTGGAAGTGTAAGGTAGAAAAGATGGTGGAAGCAGGGTGGCACTTTGCACCGCTACCAGAAAGCGAGGATTATGTGTCCTGCGTATACTGCAAATTGTCCCTTGACGGCTGGGAACCAAAGGATGACCCTTTTGACGAACACTATCGGCGGTCGCCAAGTTGTCCTTTTTTCCATTTTGCAGGAACCACCGCACCAGCAAAGCGGCCAAAAGCAAAGAAAGGCCGCACATCAAGAGCGTCACGTTCATCAAAGGCCTCAGCGCGGCTGTCAACACAGTCCAATACGCAAGACTTGACCTCTCTGTCAGAAGCCCCGAGCACTGCCAATGATTTAATACCAGACCTCGATGACTCTATAGATACAAGCAACATGTCGGTCATGTCGGTCATGTCAACGGCATCAACTGCTACCACTAAAGCTAAGCGGAAAGCTGCCGGTGGCCGATCGAAAGCAACGAAATCAAAGAGAACAAAACCCATCAGATCAACACGGACGAAGAAGGAAGAATCCCAATCTGGACCAGAGGCAATGAATGAAATAGAGATTCTTGCGGAAAGCGTGCATGAGCCAGTCGCAACGCATGCTCACGAGGTGGCTCTCGATCCAGAAGCTCAATCTCAAGAGCAACACACTCTACCCAGCCCAGCACCTACTCCCCCCGCAGAGGTTTCATATCCAATGCTGAACGAAAACAACACTCCTCCACGGATTTCCAATGAGCCTCGTCATCTAAGTCCTGTTGGCCCACCACCTCAAGCATCACCAACGCCTGTGAAGACACGCCTGTCCACATCTGCCGCCAGAACAGGAACACCAAAACTTAAATCCAGCAAGATCGATTCTACTCGTCTCATATCGCCGATGCCAAAAGCTCACAATAACTCTTCCCCTGCTCCCTCCCCCTCAACTTCAGACATTGAAAACGCGCCACCCTCTACGCGGCCTGCATCCGAACGACCTCCTATACCTCCCAGCTCATCCACTCCCAGCCACCGACTTCCAATCTCCAGCTCTCCCGGTGAAAGCCCAGGGATACCAAAATGGACGCCTGCGGATATTGAGTTGATTTTTACCCCCACATCGCCGCAGAAGGCCGATGCGGATATATTGCTTGGCCTGACGGGCGCTCAACTCTCCACAGACGAGAAGGATATGACAGTACAGGGATGGATCGAATACATTGCTAAGAAGACCGAGGAGGGCCTGAGAGCGGAGGCGGAGCGGGTGGTCGGGATTTTTGAACACGAGGGGGAGAGAGCCATGAGCGTCCTCGAAGGGATCGTCTGTGCCTGAAAAACCAAAGGAACAGGAATGAAGTCATGCAGTGGAATGGTGCGCGAGATGCTTCTTATTGACGATTGGAACGGCGCGCTGAAAGCGAAGTTGTTTGGTTTTTATGCTTTGCTCTATGGGCCTTGGGCGCATGAATACAGCCTTGAAAGGCACACATACGGTGTTTCTACTTCGGTAATGTCGATCAAAAATACAGGCTCCGGAGTACATTATTGCGTTGTCTGTCTGTTACCGCGATGCTTGGCTACGGGCCGGATATGGTGTATTCTGGATTTCTTTCCATCTACAATCCGTCGTGGAACGAAATAGGCTCAACAGGTCTTCTGAGTTGACGGACCCAGGCCTCAGGGCTCAGGGCTCACGTGTAGGAACTGGACTGGACAGTATTTCAGGGATTGAGGTCGCCGCACAAAGCCAACTCGAACAAACGGGTTACGGGGCTGAAGCAGCAAAGCATATGGAGTGGACTCTACTTGTACAAGTAGAGGAACCCAAATTCTTCAAGACGTTTGAGACGGACTTTCTTTCTCATATCTTCTCAAATAAATGGTCATGCTTGTCACTCGTGCTTGCTCCATCAATGTCGCGTAAAGGCAAACTCAGACATCGTAACGAGAGAGAGAGAGAGCGAGAACAAAATGGACCTCAAGGGCCCTTACAATAATCCGTCGCCGCTGGGATATACCGTGATACATTTGGTCATTCATCGACTTTCTAGTGCGATGCTTAAGTACCGTACATGATGGGATGTATCCTCTCCTCGGTGCCCCTCTACACAGCAATATCTGCCCCGACAAAGTCCTTCTCTTCAATTAACTGGCTTTTGGGCTGCGTGCTAGTTCCCGACAGGGCGGCGTCGAGGGAGCGGAAGTTGGCGAGTTCTTGCATTTTGGCTACACCGCAGACATTAGCACGATTGCTCAACTTTGATGGGTTTTGTTCTGCTTCGACTCACTCTCACTGACGGGGCTCGTTGTGAAAATAGCCTTCTCCCGCTCGCCCAAACTCGGATAAATACCCTCATTGATCAACACCTCCGCAAGAGATCGCCTGTTTGCCTCGGATGTTTTCCCCTGAGCGATTAACTCTTGCCTTGCCTTCTCCAAACATTCGCGGTAGTACTCGGCATGATTGATGTTGCAGACCTGGTCCCAGCTAACAGACTTGTGAATGGGGCAGAAATGGCGGGAGCAGAGCAGGCAAGTCTCGAGGAATTTGGTGGTCGGAGAGAAGTCGCCAGGGTTCTGCTCGTCGCAGAGGTAGCACTGCTTGACAAGGGCGGGCTTCTGAGGTCGCACCTTTGCGGGCTCGGTTCTGGGAGCAGAGACGGTCGATGTTGGTGCGCCAGGAGTATTGATCACAATGGTTGGAGGTGCTGGCGCCGAGGCTGACATCTTGAATAGAGGATATTGCGCGAACGGGGACTGTGTAGCTCAAGTGAATAGATCTCAAACCGCCTTCGTGGGACGAGGGTTGCACGGCACAAGGAGAGGGTGAGAAGAGTTCACGGTCGAGATCGGTGGTTTGAATAGTTGCAGGACAGTGGGGAAATGTGAGGATATAGAAGGCCTGATGAGCAGATTCCGAACTCTACACAGTGATCAGGTTGATTTCTTACTCTTTTTGCTTCAGTAGAAGGTTGACAGAGCACTGACAGTCTTACAAAATACTCAGAGTCAGCTCTAGGCCTATTTATTCGGTTCTCGGGCATCGTGCATGAAGCATGTCGGCTCCTTGCTGCTGGTGTTCAGCTTGACGAATGTGCCTTGAGTGGCCCGCATGCAGGGGACGAACGAGCCCCGCAAGAAAGATTCGGGGGCTCAGGGCTCTAGGTTACGAATGTGGCTTGCCAAGGAGGTCTGACTTTGGATGGTGAGGCAGAGGAGGCGGCCTCTCCCCCGCCGTAGAGGCTGAAGGGCAACAAGAGCATGATACGGCTGATGCGGTTGGTGTTTCGGTGCCCGAGAGACGAAAACCAAGGACAGACTATGACAACGACGTGAAGGGTTAGGCGTCAGGATCAGAGAGACAAATGGTCGAACGCCGTTGGCCTGATGGACAAAAAGCCAAGGAGCCAAAGAGGGGGCCAACGACATGAGAACATACGTTCGATGGATGGGCTTTGGGATGAGATGGTGGTGGGAGTAGAAGTTGCGCAGGGGGAATAGCAGGCCGCAGATCGCAAGTCATCGACGCTTCACCATGCATGCATTTTCATTGGAGGTCGGAGGTCGGCAGTCGGTGGCGCCGACTCGCCGCCTTCGCCTTCTTCCTCGTCGTCATCATCCAATTATTATTATTCCACGAACGAGGCACCAGAGGTACCGAGTACACATTAAATTCCCATACACACCATGGGCCAAGTACCAAGTACTGTGGAAAGTCCAACTGCCCAGCCTGCTGACGTCGTCTGCCGTCTGCTTCGTATGCATGCCAACCAAGATCAACAGGGGCGCTTGGCTGTTGTCGATCCTGTCCCTGGACCAGCGCACGTCACCATTCAAGCTCACTTGGTTCTAAATGCTTCGAATCCAGTGGGTATTTTCAATCCAGACTGGACCGGTACAGTCATGTGGCATTAATCCAGACCAGATAGTATGGCCTACATGGCACCGTTGGGTCTCAGGTACTTTAAAACATCCGCGGGCTCTCATCTCAGACTTTCCTGCAAACAGTGATGAATGGTGAAAACACACCTATGGGAAATTACTCAAAATCGACCCTCGATACTGTGGGAGACGCATCACTTACCGCTCAAGAACAATGTTCCGGTCTGGGCATCGTGGATCACAGTCGTCGTGCCAGGCAACTCCTCCCCCTCCGCGTCCTCGATGATTTTTGTCAGCTCATACTCATACTTGTCCTGGATCTCTCTATTCAACCTCCGAATTCGCCATGCAGTAGCCGGAGGGCTTTTGAGATTGAGTGGATCGTCGAATCCAGCCAACATTTTGAGCGATTTAGGCAGAGTCGCGGCAAAGATATCTCCATTGGCATCCTCAGAGAGGTTGTCAATGGGATAATCAAGGTCGATCTTGTGCACCTTGACCACAGAACCGTCTGCATTTGGTTTGAAAACGGTGATGCCCCCAACAGCCGCGCTGGGCACATAGAGAAGGCCATCGCTCCCGAGATGAAGTCCATTGGGGAATTTGAACCCAGAGGCGACCTTCTTGCAAACACCGGCTGCGCTGCAGTATGAGACGTCCCCTGTGCCAATAAAGGAAGATAGATGATGTTGCTTTGCGCAGAGTTAGTGAGTGAAACCGTGCCTTCGAGGGGCTCTCTTACCAAGCCAACCTTGTGAGGGCCGTGATCATTCGTGAAGAAGAAACCGCCATCTTTTGTCAAAGCGACGTTGTTGGGGGTCGCAATCTGGGGGTTAGCATACGTCTTGACATGCTTCATGCTAGCAGAACGCGGGGCGGTGGTGAAGACCTCGATGGTTGAGTTGCCCCCAACGACCGCATTGTCGAGCAGTTCTCCCGTTTCTGAATCAACAGAGGGACTCGCGTTGATCAACCACAACTGAACGATGGATCCATCTGCAGACGTGGTGCCGGTCATGCCGACGACATGAATACGACCGTCGCCATGCACGCCGGAGAAACCCTGCGTCTTCAGAACACGGTAGGTGTAGCCTCCTGAGCTGGTCGGGCTGTCGATGTCCATGGCGACGATATGGTCCTGCAACGCTCGGCCGGAGGCATTGAGACGATGAATACTGTTATCATGCTTAACAATTTTGCCCACCCCCCATATCAAGTCAAAAAGCACGTTTTTCAACGGGTCAGCTTGTCCACATACTTTGGCATCCACTCCTTTCTCGCCAGCGAATCCGAGCATGCCAGATATAGTGTTCTGGATCCCCGATCCAGCCACATATCCTCACAGGCCTGAAGATTAGGGTCGCCGCTTATTCGGTGGCATTGGTATGGGAAGTCTGTGACCGGTTGCACTGTGCGACCCAACCCCACGGCGTTGAAGAGGACCTCTCGAAGAAACAGCTGCCAAAAGACGGCGCAGAAGCCGAGCGAGATGGCGACAAGGGGGAGTTTGTTGGCCATTTTCTTTCCTTGGCTTTTTTTTGGCTGATTACTCGGATCTACAGTACAAGAGAGTTTGTCCGTCCACACTCGACAAAAGTCCCTATTTACGTAGTAGTGGTAGTAGAAGTAGTAACTTTCCAGTGTTTTGTCTCCGGTGTACTTCTGGTAGAAATTGTCACCTGTCAAGAAATGGTACTACTTAAAAGCCAAACTATCATGCAAGCTCTACCTCGTACTCGTCCGAGCATATCGTAATAGTTCGTTCCGGATAGAGTGAAAGCCGGCAATCCATTCCCCACAGCCGAACCCCCCTCTTGGTATTTCGGTGGCTTGTTCTGCAGTCTTTGCCCTCTTCCTCGGCCCCTTGGCCCATGAGGCAGACTTCTACACCTCACCTGAGGTAGCCAAGTAGCGCACCAGCCCAGCAGGAGACAGCGGGTATATCACTCAGGCCCCGACGAGCCAGCTGAGCGAGCGAGGGAAGGAGAGACGGGGATTTTTGGTGGAGTGGAGCACGCGCACGATTATCCCGCACTTTTTCTTCCGCTCGAAACATCCATCCATCCCCGATCATCTCTACCCCACGCAAACTGAAACAGGTGGATATCGATAAGCCTCTGGTTTCGAAGGTGAACTTCTTCCGAAGGATGCCGCTGAACCACGATTAATTCGATGGGAAAAAAGCGAGGCTGACTTTACAATGAGCTGACAGGGCCTAGCCATCAGGATATTCCTGCGTCTGGGATGATGTGAGCGCAGGTCCGGAAAGTTTCATCCCATCTTCGGACTGCTCCAGGTGAGGCAGACACATTGGCCATAGAGGTAAAGAATCTAAATAGGGACTGCACTATACTATTGAGTCCTGGTGCATGTGCCCCGATGTCAGGAGATATCATGGTCAACAATATGCACTTGAAGGAAATACAGTGTATTCGATATCATTTATGGGTATGGATAGTGAAACTCATGTTTTCATGGAACTAGTAAGGCTTGAGTGAGGTCGTTGACCACCCTGGTCTCCGCGACTCTCGTTTTCTTTGCCTGCAGTCAAGCAAGAGGTTGTGTCTCCTGCCCTCACTGCAAATACTCATCCCCAGCCTCTTTAGCCATGACATCAAACAGAGGCTTCGCGCTGAACCAACCAGCTCGAGGCGTGCCGACGGACTTGTATGTGAACGCAGCATCCTCGTCATCGATCTGAACGGTTGTTCCACCACGACCAGCTGCAGCCGCATCAGCCATGAGTTGGGCATGGCAACACTTCTCCAGCGAGCAGAACCAGAATATGGTGGCCTCGATCGTCTGTCCGACTGTCAAAAGACCGTGGTTCTGCAACAAGCAAGCCTTCTTGTTTCCGATCGCGCGGGCAATGTTCTCGCCTTCTTCCTTGGCCAGGACCACACCCTTGAATGAATTGTACACGGCAAGGTCATTGTAGAACGCACAGCTGTCTTGTGTGATGATGTCGATCGGTCGACCGAGGGCACAGAAGGCGCGGCCATAGATACTGTGTGAGTGGGCGGCGCAGTTGACGTCTGGTCGGGCCTTGTGGACGGCAGCGTGAATCATGTATGCGGCTTGGTTGAGCAGTCTGTTCGGGCCTCCATCAATGACTTTCCCATCATGGTCGACGAGGATGAGGTCAGATCTCTTGATCTCTGAGAAGGCCAAACCGAACGGGTTCACCCAGAAGGTAGTGGGATCGACTGGATCTCTCAAAGTAATGTGGCCTGCGACACCTTCATCGAACCCAAACTTTCCGAAAAGACGGAAAGCGAGTGCCAGACGACCCTTGAGATATTCTCTCTCCTCATATTTATCGGTGAAGCGTGGCGGAGAAGGGAATTTCTGCATCTGAACTTCGGCATTGCCTTGCTTCAACTTGGGCTCGTTGGGTGCAGTTCCCGCGGGCTGAGCATCCGCTGTGTCGAAGCCGGGAGCGGGGACATTGGTCTCAGTGTATGTTGCAGTAGGAGGGGCCATGGTGGATGAGATGTGTCTTGGTGCGCAAGTATGGGTACAGTGGTAGAGGATCGACTATGTGGTAGAGAGCCACGAGATGATTTAGCGATTTAGTGATTTGGTGATGGAGCAATGGAGTGATAGAAAGAGTGATGAGAGGCTAACAGGAAGAGACTCGGGCTGATATACTGCGGATTTACTGTGAAAGTGAAGTAAGACTGGGAAAGTCAAACGTGGGGAAGTGCCGACGGGGTTCATGATCAGAGGCAAAATGTCCCAAACAGATACCAGAGGTCTACGAATCTGCGATTACGCCTCGGACTTGTGAGCTATCTCCACAGCCAGGCTCAAGGGTTTGAACCACGTCTGACTTCCTCGAATCA